TGGATTAATGACTCTGACATTTAGGAGAAAGATTGGGACTGTTGGTGTGTATTTTGGAGGAGTAAGGGACATAAATGGCTTTAAAACCATGACTGAGATCACCTAGAAAGTAAGTGTAGAAGTAAACCAAAGAGGTCTGTCAGCTCTCCTCTCCGGGGATCTCCTCTACCTAAAACTCTCAAGAGGAGGAGGTTCCAGTACAAGAGACGGGAGGAGCAATCAGTGACAAAGACAGAGAAGGGGAGAGTGTGGACCACAGAAGCCCAGGGAAGAAGCATGGATAGGAATAAAGAAAAAAACAGCACCCCAGCTACTAACCATCATCGTCTTCAAGGGGGAAAATTGTAGAAGACATTCAACATTTAAGATATCCGAAGTATTTGAATATTTTATAAAGTACATATATTGCCTTTGTAAACAAAAAGCAATAAAAACGGTAACAACAATAAAAATTTAATGAACCTATTAAGGTGTAGGAAAAATGAACATTAAATCTATATATTAAATACTATATAGCCTATTGTATCTTTGATTAGATAATTTGCAAAAGGATTGCAGCAACCAAAAGTTAAGAGGAAAAATGGGGCTTTTGGCTGACCTAAGAGTGAGTTTAGACACCTGCTTTACAGAGGTTTCATGAGGAAGTTTTGTACGTACATGGGTAGTCGTGTATGTAATTGTGTATGTAGAGCATTTTTTCATATATTGTTAATGAGCATTAAATGATACTATACACAAAAATAACAGAAAGAAATCCAGAAATATAGAGAGAGAATGTGTAGATGGAATCAGTCTGTTTGTCTAATCTATTGATATTGGTCATTCATATAGACAAATAAAGGGTTTAGAATTTCATTTCCATGCAGTAAATAGAATGATGTTTAGTGCTTTTAAATGTGACTCGAGAAAGTTTCTCTGAAATTATCGGTAACTGAAATGAAATTGATCAACCAATATAATCCACAGTGCAGGTGGGGGCACACTCCTGAACACTGCCAGGCAGTCCTCCAGCTGAGTGAGAAGGCCTTGGAATTGGGGAAATATCTGTTGTATCTACCTCCGTAAACCTATATGCCATCTCAAATGACTTAGTGTCTGTTAAAATGTTGCAAAATCTTCAAATAACATACTACCGTTTCTTATTGTGGGTATTGCTGATATGTGACAGTATCAAAACTATGGTATCTTTCATGCTTGGTTCTGAGGGCCCATTTTCCTTTAAAGGACCTATATTTCCACATAGATGGAGAATTACATATCAGGAGAAACCTATTAGATTGGCCATTATCTCGCCACATAAAAAGTTGTGTGGGGAATTCAGATTTTCACTGATGTTGTCAGTAGCGATACGGCCATGAGTTTCTTCTCAGTCCTTGAGATCTGGGCGGTCTCCATAACTTTCTGCTGCTACTCATCTTAGCCAGCACAGGCTTTGGCAAAAATGATTTAATTAAGTAGAGTATTTCCTTAGACTAACACTTTTTCAGACTTAAAAAAATATTTTTTATGAGACCAAGTCTCACCTTGCTGCCCAGGCTAAAGTGCCATGGCTCAGCCTAGCTCACAGCAACCTCCAACTCCTGGGTTCAAGGGATCCTCCTGCCTGAGCCTCCTGAATGGCTGGGAGGCCTCCACCAAAACACCTGGCTAGTTTCTCTATTTTTAGTGGAGACAGGGTCTCACCTTTGCTCAGGCTGGTCTCAACCTCCTGAGTTCAATGGATCCTCCCGCCTCAGCCTCCCAAAGTTCAAGGATTAGACGTGAGCCATGGCACCCAGCCTGATAAAATTTTTAATTATACATAAAATTAACTATCGTATTTTCAAAATCAATTGGCATTCAGAGGAAAATTGTCTAAATAAAACGTATTTCCTTTGCTCTCTCGCATCAGAGTCAGGCCACAAGAAGTTGAAAAGCACCATCCAGAGGAGCACGGAGACGGGCATGGCCGCCGAGATGCGGAAGATGACGCGGCAGCCGAGCCGGGAGTCCACCGACGGCAGCATCAACAGCTACAGCTCCGAGGGGAAGTAAGTGAGGGGCTCGGGGACAGGGCTTGAGGGGGTGATGTATAAAACAACAAAGCCAGCCAGGGCACCTGTGCAGCCTCTTCATTCAGCCAGAGGGTCCCCTGTCCCCCTTAAACCAGCCTGACCCGGCCCGGCCTCCGCGCCTGGCCACTCCGCCCTCCCCAAGGAGTGAAGAGCCACTGAGTGGACGGAAAGGAACTGACCCCAGGCAAGCCCAGACGAGGGCCTCACTGGACGGTTGGGGTAGAAATGCCACGTTCAGTGCCCTCCTCCTGGGGGAACAGTCGGGCCCTTTCACCAAACTCTGAAATTAAAATTGAAAAGCGAAGAACTGGTTTCCCAGTTTGTTAATTTTCTTCAAGCTGTTCTGGGCCCTAAGCTGTTAGGAGTCTAACACTCTCAAACATGTAAGCAACTTCATGTTTTCTTGTTTTTAAAACATCACTGTCTCATTTTTACCGTCGGAAAAAAATTCAGGTTCTACCTCATTATTTTCTGACTAAAGAGTTTTAGTGAATTCTGAAGAAATCACAAGGTCTTATTTTGTTTGTGTACTTTGGTTTTTTTACTGTTTTCTTAGGGATCTTGCAAAAAACCTGAATTTTCTTATGCTTGAGAACATTTTGATAAAACTGAACTTTTACTGAGCTAATGGGTCTCACAAATAAATCATTATCCTGTGGTGGGTTACATGGAGATTGACCATGTACAAATTTTCCATAATTATTCATTCATTGCCCTTCAGATTCCTCACATACCAATCTAAACGTCATAATG